TATTTCTAAAAATCATGTTCAACACCCTCGAGCTAAACATATTGACTCGAGCTAAACATATTGACTTCAGACATCATTTCATTCGAGAACTTGTGGAAACTCAAATTGTGAATCTTGAACATATTTCTACGAGAACCAATTAGTTGATTTGTTCACTAAACCGTTGGATGGTCTTCGTTTGAATATCTTCAAACGGCTATTGGTATTTGTGTACCTCATTGACTGAGTCTATTTGATGCATGCTCGCATTCTAATTGTATGACATTTTGTTGTACATGCATCATATTTATTTACTTGACGTGCATTTTATTTTATGTTTTGTGTACTTGGAGCATTAATATTTTTATTCGAAAAAAAAGGAGTTTGATCTGGAAATTGGTTTTAAAGCATAATATACAATACACTTGATTTTGTTGGTTCTAATCAAGAGTGAGTTTATCTGGTGAGCTGTAATATAATTTACATTGCTAGCGTAGGACATTTATGGAGTTTTTCATATAGGTCTCTTCATATACCATCTGCACTGCACACACTATGATCTTAACTGTGAGACTCTACCGCGTGTGTGAGATTTGGGATGGCTGTTACATGTTAGTAGGGTAACTTTGAATATGAATTGACCATGTTTTAGACCTAAGCTCGATATTACCCCTACATGAATCACTGTATGTCTGGAAAAATAATCATAAGGGTCTCAATATCTTAATACTTCTTTTCGAAGCCTACTTAACTTGAGTAATTAAGCCTGCGGGGTTTCTTATAACCTGGTGCCTATGGTCATCTGACTTGAGTTAACCGACCTAAAATTCGTTACAGGGGTCATGTTAGTCACTCAATGGAAAGGAGCATGCACTTAAAATGTATAAAGAATATGTGAGCATTCATATTTAAAGTTGTGATACAAAGAAAAAATATATGTGTGCTGTAAGTTAGGGGAGAAAATAAATTTTTCATTAGAAATGAGATTTTCATATGTAGGTTCTAATGTGCTATTCGATTTAACATTCATAAGCAGAAGAATATACTTATTAGCAGTGATATTTTGCATGTCATTTCTCACAAATTTAAGGTTTAGAGTCCTACAACTAGAGGATTAGTGACACTTAATACGTATGAGTCACTTATATCATTTACTACATGGGTTCCTTAAGTTGGCTTTGTGGAAAAGTTTATTGTTCACTGCATTTACTTGTGATTGATTATACCTCCATTATTGTGATGTTGTGTGTTTTTGCTTTGCCCCTTGTCCTTTTGTGACAAAAAAGGGGAGAAAAAACTTCATTGCAAATTTGCAAAAGTGAGTTGATATATCATTTCTTCATCTGCACTTTATGATTTGCCTACTATGTCATAGATACATTTATCTACTGCTTGATCACATTGAGAGTTTGCAGTAAGGGGGCATATGCATATTTGTCCGAATTCAGTTTCGCTAAATTAAGTTTTTTTTTTTTTTACAGTGTCAATGTTTCGTTTTGGTATATTGGGTTGCATTGATACTGTATCTTAGTTTAGTTTGTGATTTAAAATTGAAAAATATGCTATTTCAGTTACAATTGCTTAAATGATATCTACAAGTAAACTGTTTGAACTGTGATTATCTTTGATACTATTTTTCACACATTTTACACTGATATTTAAGTTGTCTATTTCAGGAAACAGGTACTGCAGAGTTCGTTCAAGATAATTTTTAGTTTAGGTTGTGTCATTATTTTGAATCTGTAATTTTTATTTTATTACTACCTTGACATAGATTTGTGTTTTGTCACAGAATGCCAAATGGGGAGTTTGTTAGGTTTTAGTTGATTTTGTGATTAGCTAATTCTG